TTATAAATTGAATTATTATTTTTAAAAACAAGTTTAGGGGTTTTAAATTTTTTATAATAAATAAAAAAATATTAGATCGCATGAGATATTGTGCGTCGTATTCAATGAAATGTGCATGAAAAAAGGAACAAATATTAAATAAGGGAATAATATATATATATATATATATATATATATATATATATATATATATATATACATACATACATATATATAAATACATAAATATACATATATATACATATGTACATACATAATATGCATACATATATATATATTCATGATATATACATACATATATATATATATATATATATATATATATATATATATATATATATATATATATATATATACAATTAAGTTTGAATAAAGGTAGCGGATTTGAACAAAACAAAAAATTTTTAATATATATATATATATATATATATATATATATATATATATTAATAAAAATAAAAAAACAACGCTTAATAATATTATTTATGGACATTGAAAACAATATCTTGACTGTGTTTTGCAAGATGAAAAGACTATATCAATGCATAAATGCATCAAACTATTTCTTATTTAATTAATTTAATATATTTGACCCTTGAAAATTTAAAAAATTTCCGAAATAAATCAGATAATGAAAAAAATTTTCGGACATTTTTATATAATTTATCATTTAAAAAAAAAAAAAAAATTAGATAGCATTTGAAATTGTATAAAATAAATTTAATTTAAAAGTTTATCTGCTGTATTCAAAAAATACAGAAAAACAGGAAAATTTTTTAAATATAAAATATATATATATGTATGTATGTTCAATTAATCATATGGGCAAGGTTGAGTGAATTTAATTTTTTTTTCCATTATATGTCATTGCGTCAAAAACGTTTATTTATAACATTTCTAAAGTCTATTTTAAAACTTAACAAAAATGATATAATATTAATCCTCTTTCGTAATGAAATATTTGACACATTAAAGTTTCCTGTCACAAAATTTAAATTTAGAACCAGTTATTTATTTATATGTAGTTTTGATTTACGTCAATAAATTCAGCAATGCTTGGTTATGGTGGATATTAAAATATTTTAATGTGAGATGCTTGAAATTGAAGAAAAAAAATGTTTCAATTTTTCTAAAACTCTTCGAGAAAACAGTCTTTTAAAATTAAAAATAAATCCTACATGGAAGAATTTGGTCGTTACTCACAGATAGAAAAATATTTTTGTTAAATATACACATACATATATATGAATATATATATATATATATATATATATATATATATATATATATATATATATATATATATATATATATATATATATACATATATATATATATATATATATATATATATATATATATTTGAAATATATATATATATTATATGATATATATATATATATATGTATGTATATTATATAAAGTATGTATATATATATGTATATATATATGTATATATATATATATGTATATATATATATATATATATATATATATATATATATATATATATATATATATATATTTCAATTTATAATAAACGTGCATTCAATTTACAAATTCATGAATTATTCACACAAAACAAAAAGGTAAACGGTTAATGATTTAATTGGCAAAATCCATCGTCGAAAAACAATTCAAATAATATACAAAAACCTCCGAATCCGTTATGAATGAAAAGATCCTTGTTTCCATAAATTTCTGCCGCATGTAGGAACAGACGGAAGCTTGTAGTAAAAATAAGAACTAATGCGGCAAAGGACGATCCTTTTGCAAACAAACACGCATTATCTCTTCTTGCTGCTCATGTTTACTCTTTTCTTTTCGCTTTTCTTCATTGCATTCTGTAAGAATTTTTGCAGTTTTATTTCTGTATCTGCTATCAACACTGTCATCTGTATAGATTATGTTGTGAAGATGGTGACAACCAATAATGAATCCTGGTATGATCTATTTCTGTCAGAATCGCCTCATTGTATAGGTTGAATAAGTCCGGTGAGAGAGACATCCTTGTCTTACACCCGTTTCTACTTTTGAATATATGCTGAACGCATTTTTTGTCTGAATGCAGGCTGTTTGATGCCAGTACATGTTCACGATTATTCTAATATCCTTCCCAAATATTTCAAGATTGCAGAGCTGCTCCAACAGTTTTTGTGGCGTATCTGATTGAACGCCTTTGCGTAATTTATAAAACTTATGTGCTCACCATTCTGCATCTTCTTTGTTCTTTTTCTATATCTTACATTGCGTCTCTTCCCGCGGTAATAAGTCAGTCTCCAGATGTATTATATGTTGAATAGATCTGGTGAGAAGGCACGTCTTGTGGTCTTTTCTTTTTTTCTTACAGCTGTTGGTTATTCCCTTCGAAAAGAATGCTACTGCTTCTTCTTTCAGGTCGTGACTGATTATAGCTCTCTACAGCTTCCCATGCCTTGTTGATATTTGGAAACTTTTCCCCTTTACCAAGACTTCTAAGCCCTGTTCTGCCATCCATTCAAACAAACTCGCTGTCTCCTCTGCTTCTTTGGCGTCGATAATCGCTGTGAGTGAGCAAAATTCTTGAAGACCGTTTTTTCTGTCGAAGACATTCTAGTTATCTCTTTCTGATTCTGAGTACTCTTTTTATTTCCGTTTTCCCCAAGACTTCTGCATTGATTATGCATCCCGTCCATTGCATTCTAAGCATCCTTCTGTAGAGCAACATTTCTGCATTGTTTAGAATTCTATTTTATAAATTACAGTTCGGCACTCTTTCATTCTTAATTTTTTTCCAAGCGAAATTTGTCAGCTTCATATTTTGCTTCATATTTTTGCTTAAATATCTCCAACGAATATGGCTTTAGGCACGCAAAAAATAAAAAATAAATTAAAAGGAAATAAACAAGTATTAAAAAATAAAGAATTATTACAAGAGAGAGAAAAGGAAAGAGAGAGAGAGTTTATTAAAAAGAGAGAGAGAGAATTTGAAAAGAGAGAGAGGAATGAAAAAAGAAAAAAAGAGAGGAGAAGAAAAGAGAGAGGAAAGGAAAGAGAATTTGAAAGGGAAAAAGAGAGAGAGTGAAAAGTTAAAGAGAGAGAGTGAGTGAGAGGGAAAGAGAATAGAGGAGGAAAAAAGGGAAAGAGAGAGACTGAATGAATAGAAAGAGAGATTAGAAAGGAATGATAGAGGAAAATTTTAAAAGGAAGAGAGAGAGGAAAAGAATGGAAAATATGAGATTCTTTTTTTTGATTTTAAAAAGGGAGAGAAAAGAGGAGGAAAGGGAAAGAAAAAAAGAATTTTTCAGAAAGAAAGGAAGAAAGAGAGATAGAATATAAAGAAAGATAGATTGATTAAAAAAAAAGGGAGAGAAAAAGGGAGAGAGAGAAGAGAAAGGAAACATTTTGAAAGAGATTTGAAAGGAAAAAAAAAAAAATATTTTTTTATAAATAAGAGAGAGGAGGAAAGGGAAAGAGAGAGAGGAAAGTGTTTGAGAGAGAGAAAGAGGAAAGAGAAAGAGAAAGAGGAGAAAGGGAAAGAGAGAAATTTGACTTTGATTTTGCTTTTTAAGAAGGAGGTTTAAAAGGGAAAGAGAGAGAGAGAGAGAGTGAATGGAAAGAGACAGAGAGAGAGAAAAGAAAAGAGAAAGAGAGAGGAAAGGAAAGAGAGAGAGAATGAAAAGGAAAAGAGAGAGAGATGAGGAAAGGGAAAGAGAGAAGAAACTACTGAGAGAAAAAAGAAAAAAAAGGGAGGAGGAAAGGAAAGAGAGAGACTATTATTAAAAAGAGAGAAGAGAGGAATATTATAGGAGAAAGGAAAAGGGAAAGAGAGATCTGTTTTTTGGAAAAAAAAATTTTTAGAAAGAGAAAAGGAAAGAGAAAGAGAGAGAGAAAAAGAAAAAAGAAATTTAATGCTGAATACTTGTCCTCTTTCTTTTTTTTTTTTTTTTTTCTTGTCAGAAATGTAAGGCATTATTTTCTTTTGCTTGTCATAAATGTAAGGCATTATTTGCTATTTCAATGGGCGTTCCAAAGAAACAGTACATTTTCGAATACTCCTATATAACCGGTTTGTTGGGTGCCCCGAGGTGGTGTGATAGTTAGCAAGCTTGTCACGCTAGAACAATTACGCCTGAGTAGTGAGTTCGATCCTCACTGGGTGCCCTATACTTTCGGCCTTGTGTCGCATCTAAGCTGTGCATAGGAAAATCGCTAGGCACCTCGACGTGGTGTAATGTTTAGAAAGCTTGTCTTGCTAGATCTTTTACTTCCTGAGTAGTGAGTTCGATTCTCACTGGGTGCCCCATATTTTCGGCCTTGTGCCAAATCTAAGCTACGCTTGGAAAATCACTATAACCGGTTTGTTAATCATCGCTTCAAGTCAAACGGCTGGCTTTATATCAATGTATGAATTTTGGCCCATCGTCGGCCTTGTTGCAAGATAAATATTTTCGACCTAAAAAGTCCCATCCTCCCTGACGATGTCTTCTGTCGAGTTATAATCAGGGACCGTCACATGAGCAGCTTCCCACCTACCTACCCCTCACTCTCATCTCACTCCTACCGACTCCACCCGTCATCTTCAAGGCCGGTACAGCTATTAACGCCCACGCCTTTAACACACTCCAAAACGTGAAACTATCTCTCCATATTTTAGTTACTGATATTTGCTTTCTTTTGTCCGTTCTTTGTTAATTTTGCTTCTCAGTGCCTCGGCCGGGTAGTTTCACAAGGATTATATTAGCTCAAGCCTTCGGAGCCACCGCTTCAGGCAGTACGTTTTCCTTCGGGAAGGGGGCTGAGATCATGAACGGGCGTCCCCAAAGCGGGAATCGCCGATGGGGCTTGGGTAATTTTTGTCAAATCCCATATAAAACTCGACTTTGAATCTAATTCATACGAGTTGGGAATAGAGATAAATATCTCCAACGAATAAGGCTTTAGTCACACAAAAAATAAAAAAGATAAATAAATTAAAAGGAAATAAACTGAAGTATTAAAAAAATAAAAATAAAGAATTATTACAAGAGAGAGAAAGCGAAAGAGAAAGAGAGAGTGAGAGAGAGAGAGTGAGAGAGAGTGAAAGGGAAAGAGAGAAGAGTGAAAGGGAAAGAAAGAGAGAGAGTGAAAGGGAAAGAAAGAGAGAGAGTGAAAGGGAAAGAGAGAGTGTGAAAGGGAAAGAAAGAGAGAGAGTGAAAGGGAAAGAAAGAGAGAGAGAGTGAAAAGGTAAAAGAGAGAGTGAAAGGGAAAGAGAGAGAGAGTGAAAGGGAAAGAGAGAGAGAAAAGGAAAAAGAAAGAAAAAGAGAGAGGAAAGAGAAAGAGAGAGAGAGAAAGAGAAAGAGTGAGAGAGGAAAGGGAAAGAGGAGAGAGAGTGAAAGGGAATAAGGAGAGAGAGTGAGAGAAAGAAAGAGAGAGAGAGAGAGAAAGGAAAGAGAGAGAGAGAATGAAAAGGATAGAGGAAAGGAAAAAGAAAGAGAGAGAGAGAGGAAAGGGAAAGAGAGAGAGGAAAAGAGAAAGAGAGAGAGAGAGATAAAGAGAGAAAATATTGAAAAGGGAAAGAGAAAGAGGAGAGAGAGGAAAAAAGAAAGAGAGAGAGAAAAGAGAGAAAGAGAAGGAAAGGGAAAGAGAGAGAAAGAAAGAAAAAGAGAGAGAGAATGAAAGGGAAAGAGTGAGAGAGATTGAAAGGGAAAGAGTGAAAGGGAAAGAGAGAGAGAGTGAAAGGGAAAGAGTGAGAAAGATTGAAAGGGAAAGAGAGAGAGAGAGAGAATTAAAGGGAAAGAGTGAGAGAGATTGAAAGGGAAAGAGAGAGAGAGAGAGAGTGAAAGAGAAATGGTTATAGCAAGATTTTTATATGTGAGAGGCAAAATATACAGACGTAAACGAGCAAGCATTTTTATCTTATTTTAATACACCTATAAATAAACTTTCAGGGTTTAAATTTTTGATAATATAGAAATATATACTGTAATTTGAAATAAAAATGAAATCATTTCCAGGTATTTTTAAATTTCATAGACAGTATCAGAAATATATTTGTAAACCGTAATAAAAATGAAATCATTTCCAGGTATTGGGGTGCATATTGACGTTACCTTTTAATTAAAAGCAGGACCACCAGATATTGAATTTTGAAGAAAAATTTGAAGAAGGACCACCAAAATTTTTGAAGGGACAAATACAGAGACATGAAAATTCATTGAACCTTCTCATAGACCAAATGACCTCCGCAGGATTTGAATTATAAGTTGTTGAATATTCATATATATATCATGCCAGACTGGTTCCATATATATAAATAAAAGTATATATGTTCGTTAGGATTGAAATAAAAATTAAAATTTTCATGGATTGTTTTTTCTTCAATCATTCCTTCTGATTAAAAATTCGTTAACCGGATTAATTTCTTTCCTCAGCAAGGTGTTTTTTTCAGATTATTTGTTTTTGAATCGACGAGCTTGGATATCCACAAAATGGTCTTTTGCCAGATGAGAGCTACGAGAAGAGGATTTTGGCAAGCAGGCGGATAAGGTGTCTGGCTCATGGCCACCTTATATATATATATATATATATATATATATATATATATATATATATATATATATATATATATAATATTAATTTAGTAAATATATATATATAACCAAATATATAAATATATATACCTTTAAAATAACATATACATGTATATATATTTGAATAAAAATTATCAAGAGGATAAATTCCCAGGAAGAACTCAATGTCAGGAAACAAGTAAGGTTATAATTTCATTTTTTAAACATTATATATTCCATATTTATAATTTATTTCATTGGAACCCGTAAATACAATTTTTCATAGACCTACAAATTCAAAAAGAAAACCAAGAAAAAAGATATTTTTTTTTTGAATTGAGAGGTTTAAAAAATGGAAATAAATTACGATTCCAATGGAATAAATTAAAATCATATATTTTATTATATTTAAATTTTTATATATATATATATATATATATATATATATATATATATATATATATATATATATGTGAAAAGTGTATATAAATATAAATAAATATATATATGTATAATTATTTATATATTATATACGCGGTACTTATTAGAAAGCGCTCAATATCAGAGATAGAGCTAACATATTTGGAATTTGGATAGATGTGAGTTTGACGAAATTGGGTTTGAAACCTTGGGTAACAAACTCACATCTATTTATAAAAATATATATATATATATATATATATATATATATATATATATATAGAATATATCATTTTTTTTTTTATTTTCATTTTTTCTGGACAGAATAAAAAATATATACCGTAATAAAAATGAATTCGTTGTCGGAATTGGTTGCCGAGGACTAGGATAGTCAATGGACATTTCTTTCTGTGTTTAACCCTTTGACCCCTGCGTTCCCGAACAATTTTAACCCTTCTGCCTAACCTCCTTGAATCAAAATTCCGAAATAACTAGGATGATATGTTTCAAGGTAGATATAAAAACAGTTACAAGTATTTGCCCACCAGTTAACCGGTGACTGGGTATTAAATCATTTTTCTGTATCTCTGTTCAACCGGTGGCTAGGCATTACGTCCTTTTTTCTATACCACTGGTAAATCGGTGGTCAGTTCTGAAAGGCTTAACGAGTCATATGTTGGATCTGAATAGACTCTTGGGGTATGAGATTACAGAGGATGGCGAGTACTTTGGTTTCATTTCCTCTGTTTTTCAAGGACGTTGTTTTTTCGTGGACTGCTCTTCTCCAATCGATTCCTTCTGATTCCTCCGTCTCCCAATTGACCGGATCGATTCCTGTCCTCAGTAAGGCTATTTGATTTGATCCCTGACTCAACGACGTGGGGCTCCACGTGGTCTCTTGCCAGAATCGACCTCCGAGAAGACGATTTTTGTGGGTAGGCGGATTTCAGGCACTCGATCAAGGTGTACGCCCCATCGAAGTCGGTGGCGAGCCATGATACTTTCTAGGCTCTCCATCTTCGCGCGGACGAGAACTTCATTGTTTGTAATCCGGCCCTGACACATGTTCCGCAGGATTTGACTCTGTTTGAGGTGACGGAATTTGCCGCTGCACATAAAAAGAAATAAAATATTGTAATAAAAAACGAAATAACACAGCAAACTGGAAATAAAATTAAAAAAAAAACAAAAACGATGAAAATACGTCATATAAAAAGCAGCCATAGTATAGCTAGAATGTTAAGATAAATAATAATAGAAATATTATTTTTTTCATTACAATATGTTAGGTATTCATTCAACGAGCAGCCAGTATGACTGTCGACTACAAAATCTTTCTCTTGAGAAATGTTTTCGTAAAATAGTAATCCAGAAGATGCTATCGCTCTTTGATTTATTGAGTCGTTTACGCGTTATCAACCCTTTTCAGTTTATTTAAAACCATAAAATATTTTAGATTGTTACATTTATTTTTCAGATAATAATATTTAGTGATACAATATTACTAATTAACATAGCTGAGGGAAGAAGAGGTGGACTCGTACCTAATCAGAATTTGATAAACTAGCAAGAAATTATAATGTGGATATAAAGTGGGGGATCAGTTTTATGTTAAAATCAATTTATCATTTGATCCCTCACTTTATTACACGGTAATTTCTATGCATTTAGATTCCAGAGAATGTAAATCAATCTAAAAATCATGACTAATCAATATTTCGTTGATTAATTAATTTTCTACAACTTATCAAACCTTTGCAGGATTCATTTATATTCTTCTCGATGTCATATGTTCCCAAGTAGGCATCTTGAAAATTACTCCCCCCCACGAGGGTCTCATGGCACAAGGTCTTTTTAACGTGGGCATTTTGGAAAGTAAAGAAGGTCAAAAATTAATGCCCATTGAATTTCTGTAAAAACGAGTTCAGGGCCGGTTTTTGAATAAGAAGGAGATTCCGCCCTTCAGCCCAATGTAGCTTCTTAACATGTTCCTCAGTCCGTAGGAAAGAGTTGAACCGAACAGTCGGTATTTTCACTTGAATGGTTCACTGATTTCGTATCGCTGACAAAAAAAAATCTGGCCGTTAGTCTCGTAAACGACACAGAAATCTCTTGTTGAATGGGGTAGGAATTGGCTGGTTAACTCTCTAGTACCCACCACAGAGAAGCCTTCCTGACTCACATTAGAATGCCTGATGCTCAACTGCACGAGAGCACATCTCTGCGACTGTCCGCTGACCTGAGATAGAGCAATTACATTGAATCAATAGCTTCATCTACTGCAAGGAAAGTTGGTTCTCCGTGTCAAGCCAGAAAGTTTTTCTCGCCCGAGTCCATCCTTCAAATCTATAAATCAACCATTCGCCCTTGCGTGGAATACTGCTGTCATATATGATCTGGAACCCCTGCTGTTCGTCTTAGGGTCCTCGACAAAATCCAGAGACGGATAAGCAATGTGGTTGGCCCTGATCTAGAATCTCGTTTACCGTCGCTCTCTCAGAGACGGCTTCCCTCTGTCTTTTCTACAAATACTTTCGTGGTAACTGCTCCGATGAGCTACGTCCCAGCATACATGAATTTAAATGTGCCACTAGGTTGGCATCTCAGTCCCAAACTCTAGAAACGGTTAAATGTAGCCGCCTCTTCTAATCCTATAGATTCATGTCTCGCACTTCCCGTCTGTGAAATTCCCTTCCTCTTACTTGCTTCCCTGATAGCTATAATCTCCAACTATTCAAGTGCAATATCAATCGATGCCTTGATCTATTGCCCGTCCTTCTCTTCATCCTTTCCTTTTTCACGACTCTTTACTCTTGCCCCCATTCTCTGTAACCCCATTGCGTGCTAGTGGTATTACCGCCTTGCTTGGAGTGTAAAGTTAAAAAAAAAGAATAAAAATAAAGCCAGTAAATATTTTTGCATTCAGTTAGCGGGGGGGATTAAAATGATTTACTCATCCAAATCTTACTAATAAACTCATAGCTAGGAGGATAAGTAGTGTATTTTAAAGGTTATAAATGTTTTGAATGTTATTTGCGCATAAATAAATCTAACGACCCCAACCAGAATTGAAACTCATCTGTCTAATTAACAATTCTATATTAATTATTTATTGCCTGTTTATATTTCTGGGATAAGGTATTATGTAGATTATTTACATTACTCGGACTATTGTCCACATCTTTATCGCCATATTTATTACAACGTTTTGGCCGTTGTACACTCTGGCCTTCTTCAGGTGGTTGGAATGTCGAACTGAACCCTTTATTTCGCTCACTGGGGTAGACAGTTCTAGTTCCACGTGCCATGTTTTAATGGATGTCAGTTGTCAGATCTCTCCTGTTAATTCCCCCTCCCCAAGTTCTCCACTGCCTTAACTGGGTAATGAACTCATGCTCTTTGGGTCCTGTCACTGAATCTAACCAACGTTATTTATCCATTTGCCATGTGTTTGTGGATATCATCTTGAAAATGGCACGTGGAACTAATGGCAATGAGACGCTCTCGGGGAGATTGAGCATCAGCCATTCTGATAGGAATCTAAGGATAATCCATATTGAGTAAATGAAACAGTTTCGTTTTGAAGTCGTTAAAGATTTACAATCCATTAAAAAATGTACAATTTTTGACTGTTAAAAATATTTTCAATGAAAGAAGAGTTAACAGCCAGGTTAAATTTTAATCAAGATGGCAGGTTTATTATTGAGAAAGAATTTTAATTTGTTGAGTCGTCTGCAGTGATGGACCACTTGTTTTATTTGGAATATATATATATATATATATATATATATATATATATATATATATATAAAAAAAAATATAGAATGTCTAAATATATATATATATATATATATATATATATATAGCTGAAAGAGCTACAAGCATAAAAAGTCTGTCGAAAAAAAATCGCACAGATACAG